CAGAAAATCATGCGTGTAAGGAAGTTGCGACCAACACATGTTCAAATATCATTTTTCGCTTATGATTGCACTAAATCAGTATTTACTTTGCACTGATATTTTTACTGTTTGTACTGAATTTTATTGATGATATTGGTTCCAATACTAATCGCACTGATCTAAAATTGGTCTCATCATAGTCTCCTTCCAGAAACCTCCCTATATAATTTTCCATAGAGAGCCCTCTCTGTGGAATTTATTATTATTGATATTGTTATTGTTAATATTATTATTATATTATTGTTGTTGTTGTTTCTTTTTCTTTTCTTTTTTTCTTCCTTATGAGGTTGTTTTGCAAGTGAATTCTCCCTGTCCGATTCGAATGGGGCCAGGACAGTAAAGAGATTGAAAAGCGCAATGACTCCAAAACACTTGATATATCTAAGTTTAGTCAAGCATTAAAAAGAAGTCTCTATTCAACCAACCTTGAAGCTATACCAATCTTGTGCTTAAGGTCTCACCCAGCCGCCCCTCTCTGCTTTGCTTTGAAGCGACATAAACATGAAGCTATATAGCTCCCTCTCTCCTATTCATTTCATCACACAAAGTTAGAAACTTCATCCATCTCAGTCACAAATCTCATACACAATGAAGATTTCATACCTCCTCCCTCTCCTAATGTTCTTCACTACTTGCTTTGCTCTCCCAAGAGAATTCTCCATAGTAGGTTATCCCGAGTCCGATCTCAGATCAACTGATAAACTCATCGATCTATTCGAATCGTGGATGTTGAAGCACGGAAAATCCTATCAGAGCTTCAAGGAGAAGCTGAGGAGGTTTGAGATCTTCATGGACAATATCAAGCACATTGATGAGACGAACAGGCAGAGGACTAGCTATTGGCTTGGGCTCAATGAGTTTGCTGATCTTAGTCATGAGGAGTTCAAGGAGAAGTATCTTGGAGTCAAGAGTGAGTTGATAAGGAACAGAGAAATAACTTCTGGGTTCAGGTATGCAGATGTTATGGACTTGCCAAAGTCAGTGGACTGGAGAAAGAAGGGAGCAGTGACTTATGTCAAAGATCAAGGCCAATGTGGTAAGCAAGTCAAACATTGCACTTCTAAACTTATAGGGTTATTTTCACAAAACCCCCCTTGAACTTTGAACTTTTCTCACTGGATGTAATAATGGATGCAGGTAGCTGTTGGGCATTCTCAACAGTAGCATCAGTCGAAGGAATAAACCAAATCGTTACGGGAAACTTAACATCCCTCTCCGAGCAGGAGCTAATCGACTGTGACACATCCTACAACAGCGGATGCAATGGCGGTATCATGGACTACGCATTCTCCTACATCGCGTCCAACAGGGGCCTGCACACTGAAGATGATTATCCTTACCTCATGGAAGAAGGAACTTGCGATGAGAAGAGGGTAACTAATTTCTTACAAAATTTTAATATAAATGGTGTTATGGTTATTGATGTTTTTTGATGTTTTAGGGTGAGTTTGATCTCGTGACAATTAGCGGGTACGAGGATGTGCCAGAGAATAGTGAGGTGGATCTATTGAAGGCGCTTGCTCATCAACCTGTCAGTGTTGCCATTGAGGCTTCTGGCCGAGATTTCCAATTTTACAGTGGGGTGAGCTTTTGTTTCCTATTCTTCGATGAGAGGACACCATTAAAATTTTGAAGTTTTTTGGCAGTTAAACTGCTCAGTTACAAAATTGAATAGGGTCCATGTTTCTACTGCTTGCAGCTTAATAAGTGAAAGTTGAGTAAACATGAAATCAGGCTTCTTTGGCTATCTTCTGCAGTTTAGTAAACTTTACTTATCTAATGTTAAAACTTAAAAGCTGAGTTAAAACCTCTAGTTAACACGCGTTTTTGGTTAATACACAATATATGTACTATGAATTTCAAACAATTTTCATATTAATAGTAAACTGTTGTCAGTTTCAAAATATTTCATGAAAATAAAGTATGCAAACGCCATTCTTATGATATTTGGGCTATTGCAGGGGGTGTTCGATGGGCATTGTGGGACTGAACTTGATCACGGTGTGGCGGCCGTTGGATACGGGTCATCCAAGGGCCAGGATTACATCATCGTCAAGAACTCGTGGGGTCCGAGGTGGGGAGAGAAGGGATACATAAGGATGAAGAGGAACACTGGAAAGCCTGAGGGTCTGTGTGGCATCAACAAGATGGCCTCATATCCTACTAAAGATCAGTAAAGAATTTCTGCTCAGTATCACGAAATTTTCTCTGTTGTCTGGTCCTGATTAAGAAGGAGATTGGAGATGAATGTAACCTTGTTTATGTTTGATCATGAATAAAATCGCGTGGTTGATAAAGATGTGTCAGCAAACAGTACCTCACATGTTGGTTTCTTGCCTATGAAAACTTATGTTTAATAATTATACATAGTGATATATTATATGCTCACATCGGGTCCCATGGTCTAGCGGTTAGGACATTGGACTCTGAATCCAGTAACCCGAGTTCAAATCTCGGTGGGACCTTTTTTAATCCGCTCTTTTTTAATTTCTACCAACTCAAAGGGGTCGTCACGCCAAGAAAAAAAAATCATAAAAATACATAAACTACTCCCTTTTTTTCAATCATTTTTCTGAAGACCATTATTATTTCAGTAGAACAGTTGCAGCACGCAAGAGTAAAGGGCGACGTGACCACGAGCCACCACTTCGCACAGTCTCAAATAAAAATCACGATAAAGAATCGATCGTAACTCCCCCATTACAAAACTGATCAGTCGGAGAGAGCATTGGCTAATGAACTGTCCAACCCAAACCCTCAACTCATCTCAGCTACCGATACTCTACTGACACCTTTGTGGGTTCTGGGTCCCACTAAACGCCTGCTGCACATTGAGGCACGTGGCAGTCGTACCTGCCCCGCCGAGATAGTCGAGACTGACATCGTGCAACGTGACATTCCGGCACGGCATCCCTTTACTACACCTGAGCGTCACGGCCACTGGCGTCGTCGACGTCCCTCTAATATTCTTGAATTTTATATCACTAATCTTCACTCTCGAGGGTGCCTGTTGACCCTCCGATGTATGTTTCACTAATATATAAGAATTTAACAAAAGAAAGAAATATTGATACAATATGACTCACGTTTGATGGGCAATCGGTATACGGGCAATATGTTTGGTCTATGATGATGGGGTTGTCTACGTGGTCCATCACGATGTTTTCAAACGTCATATTCGCTGCGGTGGTGGCCCCAGGCGAGTTTTGCCAAGTCTTGATCCGAAGGCCGTTGGATGTTCCGGTGAGGCTGCAGTCCTTGACAGTGAGCCCTCGGACGTCGCCCTCGCCTTCGTACCTCCCTAAGCTCCCCACACTGTGCAATGTTGCCACGAATTTGGATAAATTTCAGATAAAATCCTTTATTTACATCTCCAGTCAGTACTTATTATCCGTCAACTCGTGTATTATTTATCATCCCCATGTTGACATTTTTAGAAAGACATATTGCAAAATACACCCTCCGACGAATATATAACAAGTCATAGGATTTGGACTAGATCCGTACCTGATACCATGTCCCGGTCCACACTTGATTCTAGTGAGGGAAACCTCGGAATTTCCCTCACCAACGGAGACACAATCATCTCCGGTCGCAATACTCGACCTGTGAATGCTCACACGAGAATTACGCTCCAAGTGAATCCCATCAGTATTCGGACTATTCGCCGGGGCAGCGATCTTGAGATTCGTTCCTTTGAAATTGGTGCACCCCAAAATAGCTATATGGAAGAATTTTGGATTGACTGACGAAATGTTATCCACCACAGTACGTTTGTCGTCCCGATGAACTTTATCGACTGCGAAAATAATCCATAAACGCAAGTTTCTCGTTGACATTTTATCGGAAGGGTTCAAAAGCAGCAGTGCTTACAGTGGGAAGAACTTTACAGTCCTTTTTCATCGGGCATTTATTAAAAGGCCAAGAAACAGCTCCTCGGCCGTGGAAAATGCCTCCTCCGGTTAACGTCAAGTTATTGACGCGCGCGAATTCGAGCCACTCGTCGCTTGGATACTTGGATAAATCCGTTGTGGCGAGCAAAGTTCCCTGCGTTAAGAAGTATGTACTAGATGAACATGAGCCTTTACATGAGGGATTTTGTAAATCTAGTAGAGTGAGAAAATTAAAAGAATTAAAATTGCCTGCACTTCTATTTTAAGAGAGTGGACGTTATTGCAAGGCCCACGAAATTGAGTAGGGCCGAGGAGGTAAGTGCCTGAAGGTATGAGTATGGTGACGGTGCCGATGGATGAACATGCGGCTGTCCACGCCGAGGCGAATGCCTGCGGTGAAGAACGGCGATGAAAAATAATGACATTGCGAATTTATATTTTGTTAGAGAACAAAATATGTTACTGCATGCTTCGAATAGGTAAAGATTATACGTGAACAAACTTTAAAAAAGCCATTCAAATATGTATATAGGATCAAAATCAATGGAATGAAGAGTTCAAATTTAAGCGTATCATGTAGTTTGGAAGGGGAGCATAATTATGTCCTAAGGTAATTAATTAAAAAATAATGGTAGAGAGGTTTTGTTTTTGTTAGCAATTAAAAAATCTCTTAATTATTCGAAGAGATCAGAAAATGGAAGAAGAAATTTGATTGTACAAATACGGAAGAATAGCTTATGCATCAAGCTCCATTAATCCTCAAAAACGTTTACTGGAAAAATGATAATGGGAAGGAGAAAAACGAAGAATAGTGAGATGAAATTCGGTTTAAGTTATAATAATAAAAAAAGAGCTCATAACAGCGTTAAATTTAGATTAACAACATAAGTCATGTTCTAAAAATTTTTGACGAAAATTTAATTACCTTACTATCATCAGTCGTTCCATCAGCTTTAGCACCATAGCTCCTCACATTAAATGTTCCTACAACATTTGCAATGAAATGAATGATAAAATACAGAATGATGAAGAACTTCGTCATCTCCATTCACAGTTTTATTTTTTTAATAAAAAAACCAACTTCTCTTTTTTTCCCTTTAAATGGCAATTTATTGTTGAGATAAACGATGGTTTAAGTTTATAAAAATGGGCGTGCGGAGTTCCTTAACTACCGTAAACTGCATTTCCCCACTTTGTGTCTCCTTAACCTTAAACTGTCATCCCCACTTTCATTTAGGGGGTGTTTGGCAATCTGAAAGTGAATTTAAAATATGTAAGTTAATTTTTTTGCAAATAACTTTTACATCCATGTCAGCACGCAAGTGAAATACAGTGTTTGTTTGAAAAATTAAATTATTATCTAAAGTGCAATGTGAAAGACTGAGAAAAGTCTTTTGTCGATCGCGATGAGTTCTAAGGTTGACCGGCCAAACCCTGTAGGGGTTTTTAGTCTTGGTCGTTGGATCCGGTCGACCATGTGTGCTTCTGCGGTCGATCGCGAGTCGGGTCTACAGTTGAGTTTGGTTTTTTGACCCGTTTCGTTCTGAGTTGATATATAATCTTAATCCTAATTAATTAGGATTAAGCAAGAATGTTTTGCATAGTCTTTGAGAGGGGATTGCTGCATCCAATTGTGGAAGAGTTGTGAGAGATCTAGAGGCTTTGTTTTAGGGTTTATTTGGTAAGATTTGTAACCCTATTTGTATTCTCTTGATTTCTAATAGTAAAAACTCCTCCCTCCTTGCCCCGTGGACGTAGGTAACTTACTGAACCACGTAAAATTCGTTTGTCTTGTTATGGTATTGTGTTTGGCTTATTAGTTGTGATTTATCTCGTTCTTGTTCATATGGTTTCGAGCTTCCGTCGTGCACAACAAGTGATATCAGAGGTTCAGGTTTGGCTTAGGACTTGTTCGAAGGATTTGCTGAAGGATTCCTATTTAAAGAGTTAGATCGACAACATGGGAGAAGCAAGCACATCAGGTTCGTCTCTTACGAAGGTATACAGAGTCTGAGCATCAATAACACGAAGATTGATGTTCCGAAGTTTGACGATAAGATTAATTTTGGTTTATAAAGGTGTCAGGTGATGGATGCATTAGATGCACAGAATTTGGAGGAGACTCTTGAGTTACAAGAGAAACCCGTTGACATGGAGGATAAGGTATGGAAGAAAATGAATAGTAAGACTTATGGAGTTATTCGGTCATGCTTGACGCCAGATCTTATTTATGACGTGATGAACGAGACATCAACGAAGAGAATATGAAAAACACTCAATGAGAAGTATCTTACAAAGAGCATTGAGAATCGGCTTCACTTGAAGAAGAGGTTTTACCAGTTCAAGATGAAGAGGGGAGTTTTTATTAGGGAGCATGTAAACAATTTCACGAAGCTACTTTCAGATATGACCAATGTGGACATCACGGTTGAGGATGAAGACAATACGATGTTACTTTTATGTTCGTTGTCGGAGGATGAGTATGGTACGTTTGTTATCACTATGATCAATGGAAGAACTACTGTTAGCTACAAGGAGATGACCTCAGCGTTGGTGAATTATAAGTTGAGAAAGAGTGATGGCGAACCCTCCGAAAAGGCATCGGGAGATATATTAGCAGTTCGAGGCCGTAGTCCAAACCGCCATCAAGTCAACCGCTCAAAATCAAAGAATAGATGTGCATATAAGAGTGTTGGTAGAAATCAATATCGTTTTTGTAAAGAAGATGGACATTGGAAGATTGACTGCCCAAAGTTGAAGGACAAAGCCGAAAAGAATAAGAAAAAAGTTGTACAAGCTTCAGAAGTGAATGTTACAAAAACTATTGGTGAACATTCAGATTTAGATTCAGATTCTTCAGGTTATTCGCACCCTGCATTACCGTTGGTTTGCTATGCCGACTCTATGGAGTGGATGTTAGATTCGGGAGCCACATATCATATTTGCCCGAGGAGGGACTGGTTCTCCAGGTTTGAGGAGCTGGAAAGAGGGGATGTTGTGCTTATGGGTAATGATCACGTATATCCTATTAGTGGTATTGATTCAGTCCGGATTAGGATACATGATGGTGTGGTGAGGGAGTTGAAAGAAGTGAGGTTCATGTCGCAGTTGACGAAAAACATCATTTCTCTTGGTACTTTGGTGGCATGTGGTTATCGGGTGATCTTAGAGGATGCTACCATGAAGGTCACGAAGGGTTCTATGGTGGTGATGCGAGGAGTTAGGAAAAACTTCATATACTACTTGAAAGGCAAGACAGTTACAGGGGGTCTGGCAGCTTCTATCACTACAGATGAGGACACTACCACTCTATGGCACATGAGACTAGGACACACAGGTGATAAGTCTATGCAGTCATTGGTGAAGTAGAGGCTTTTGAAAGGTGCTAAGATCTGCAAGATGGAGTTGTGTGAGCATTGTGTA